AAAAAAAAAAAAAAAAAAAGAAGCAAGCTAGTGAAGACATTTCTGGAAGCACATGGAGAATCTGAAGAAGGGACTTCAAAGGCTATGACTAGGGGCAGGAGCTGGGGACACATCGTGGGGGAGGGGCGAGTGGGAGCTGGAGGCTTTGGTCTTGAACCAAACAAGATGGCGATTCTGAGCCCCAGAGAGCCCATACAAGCTCTGAATCCAGTACCTAAGGGTTGGAAGTGTAGCTGTCTTTCTGGTGAGTAGGGTAGAGGGTGGAAGGCACTGGGGAAATGTGGCCCAGCCAGAGAAGTCGTGCACACTGAGCCGGAGCAGTTTGGGCTGGGGCTGGCTCTCAGGTCGCATCCTGTGGCCACCAGGGGGCAGTCAAGCCCATTCCGAAAAGCGGGCGGGGCGGGGCGCGGTGGGGCGGGGCGCCCAGGGCAGGTCCCACCTCCAGGGCCGCCCTCCGGCTGGAGCTCCTGACAGCTTTTCCCAGATCCCTCCTGGACCGCCGGCCGCGGTCACGCGGGACTCCGAGAGTGCGGCACCTCCTCTCTTCTCCTGGAGAGCCCGGGGGGATGCCGAGTCCATCCCTGCGGTCACCCTCAACATCCAGTCCTCCTCCACCGCTTCTGGGTTATTGCATTCAAATGCCCATCACACCCATTTTGTAGAGGGGAAAGCTGGGTCACAGAGAGAGTACGTAACTCGCTGGAAGCCACGGCTCAAGGAATGATGACCTGGGACACAAATCTGGCTGTCCATCCTCAAAACCGGAGCATTCATGAAACCATGGCTTCCTCACTGATCTCCGTGTTTCCACTCTGCTCCTCGCTCCGGAACCTTCTCCATCCATCAGCCAGCGTTTTGGGGGCTCTCGGGCTGTATCACTCGCCAACTTACCACCTTTCTCTGGCTCTCACTGCCATTAGGATCAAGTTCAGTCCCCTCACTCCACCCTCTGTCATCATCTTAAACCCAGGAGCGCCCTCTCTCTTAGCTCTGGACACACCAACTTTTCTTCAGCCTGAAGACAATGCCTGCTCATCTGGTGCATTTACTGCTTCTTCCCTGGGCCCACTCTCCTGCCTCCCCACTTAATTGTAAGTTAACCGTGATGCACTCTTCAGGCCCTGGCTCTTATGTTACTTCCTCCAGGGAGCCCTCCCTGACTCCTGACTCCCAGACAAGCTCAGATCAAACTTACTATGAGTCTCTAGGGTTGCACTGGCTTCAGACGTGCACTTCATTTTTGTATCTATAATGGCACCGCTATTCTAAAATACTGTCATCCTTGAGTCTCTCTGAAGCTCTCTCTACTCCACCTGAAATTCTGTGGGATCTACCTTAAAAATCTCAAGTCTGATCCCTTCTTACCTCCTTCCCTACTAAGTCCTTCATGTCTTAGTAGAAGACCAAACGGCTTCCTCATGGTTGTTGCTTTTCCTCCTTTGCCCTTATTGGGGCTTAGAAAACAATATCCCCAAGTATGGCACTTTGGCATGCTGAATACTTTGAGCTAAAGGAGGCTGGAAGGCCTCGGAAACAAGATCTCTCTTCTCCTGGTTTGCTGTCTCCCATTTCTCTTTCTCCCCTGAAGCAAGTAACAGAAACTAGCATTCATTCCTCTTCCCCAAGGTGGGTTACAGAAACTAGAACTCCTCTCCCCAAAGCAACTCACAAAACACAGAAATACTACTGTAACCTTCCTCTGCTCTACTATGTATAAGCTGGCCACAAATTATTGGCTGGGCGTGGGGATCACTGGAGGCCAGGTGTTTGAGACCAGCCTGGGCAACATAACAAGATCCCCATCTCAACAAAAAAAAAATTTGAACATTAGCCAGGCTTGGTGGCACCCACATGTAATTTCAGCTGCTCAGGAGACTGAGGCAGGAGGATTGCTTGAGCCCAGAATTTGAAGCTGCAGTGATCTATCACACCACTGCATTCCAGCCTGGGTGACAGGATGAGACCCTCTTAAAAAATAAATACCCTGACCTATGTCTTGTCTCCTGTACCGGGGAGGAAGGAATGCTACACAGAGGCCAAGAAGAATCTGGGCTGGCCTTGCTGGGTTGGCTAATTTAAAATTTTTTTTGTAGAGACAGGGTCTCACTTTGTTGCCCAGGCTGATCTTGAACTCCTGACCTTAAGCAACCCATCCTCCACCTGCAAAGTATTGAGATTACAGGGTGTGAACTGCCACTTTGTTTTTCTTTTGTTATAGGAATGTCAGTCATAGAATCTTCTGCTGGGTGAGGAAAGGCATCACACCTTTCCCCGACACCCTACAGCAGCCAGAGCCGTGCTTGTGTCTGTCTCCTCCACTAGAATGAATGCTACGTAAAGGCAAAGATTTTGTTTGAAGAAGTCCCCAGTGCCCAGGACTATGTCTGTGTAGAGCAGAGCTCAGTAAACACTTGCCAAGTGGCTGTCTCTCCCACTAGAATGTCAGCTCCTGAGGGCAGAGACTCTCTGTCCCATTCACATGCAGCCCCAGTGCCCAGCACACAGCATGTGCTCAATAAAACCCTGTCCCGGTACAGGTGGATACATTCAGGCCCAGAAGGAAGGAAGGACTTGTCCAGGGCCCTCCCCTGCGGTGGCAGAGCCAGGACCAGTACCCAGCTCTCCAGTGGCCCCTCCTTTCCCCATCCCAGAGCACACAAGGGCCCAGGCTCTTTGTTCACTGAGTAAACACAGTTTATTACTGAACTGCACTTTCACCTTCACACAGACTATTTCAAAGAGCTGGAACAAGTGTGGGGTGGGGGTTGGGGGAGGGGCAGGTGCCCCTCAGGAGCCAGGACCCTCGGCCAGCTTCCCTGGACCAGGGCAGGGGAGGGAGCATCAGGCCGTCCAATCTCCGGGCACCAGCTCTCCACGTGCACGCGCACTGCAAGCCAGCAGCTCCTCACACATAAATACAGACACGCTTAACAAAAATAGTATATCATCTTCACAAGGAATAAAAACTAGTCTTGAATATGTACAGCAGAGCGCCCGGGGTGGCTGGGACCCCTGGGGATGAGACAGGCCAAGGGTGGAGAAGAGAGAGGGAGGCCTGAAGAGCTCCTGGCCAGGCCACTCTGACCTTGGTAGCCTGGCTCCCCAGGCTGGACAGGCGTGGGGCACAGATGTGCCTGGCCAGGCAGGACTGGCCCTTCTAGTCAGCCCTACCCCACCCCATGCAGCAGGCTCTCCTTCCTGCCCTTCCTGCCTGAGGTAGGGAAGAGCCTGGGGCTCATAGCTGTTCCTGATAGCTTCCTTTCACCTCAGGACTGAGTCCCCTGAACCCGCCATGAGGAGCAGCCCAAGCCTGTGGTGCCACAGGCTGCTCTTGTAGGAAGTGAGGCAGCTGAGGCCATAAACAGCTCTGGGGCACCTGTCTTGGGCCCAGTTGGTCCCTCAGTCATGGTCATGGGAGCCAGGGAGGGGAAGGGACTAGAGTGGTGCTGAACTGCAAGGGCCACCCTAGCATTGGCATGGGGTGCTTCCTGCAGCTACAGCCCCCTCCCTCCTGGGTGGGGCTGGCCTCTAGCCAGAGGCTTCTGGAGGACATGTGGACTGGGAGTGAGGACTCTAGCCAGTCCAGAGGTGAGGAGGGAGTCCTGGTCCTTGCATCTTTATCCCAAGCAGCCTGAATCCCTAGTCAAAAGTGGCCCCTAAATGGCTCTTAGGGGGTAGGGATGGAAGGAAAGGGAACCCAGGTTAGTGTGGGGGGGCGGGGGAATGATCAATTCTGAGGCCACAAACATCAAAACAAAGGCAATCTAGTCTCCTTTCTGGGGAAGAGGTTCTGAAAACTTTCAAGCTCCCTGGCAGAAAAACATTTTCAGGGAGGCTAAAGGGTAAGGGTTGCACCAATCAGGTAGGGCCCTCCTGCCCCCAGCCACAAACCCTTCCATACCTGCCAGCCTCCTTGGGATAGATTTTGTGGAAATTTTATGAATTCTGAGGCCAAGGGAACTGAGGTGTGGGGGTCTCACAGAAGTGTGATAAATTCTAGAAAACTAACTGCAGGGGACCAGATCTGGGCCCAACCCTGTGGTGGGTAGGTGGGCATGGCCTGCATATAGTGGTTCTCCTGGTGGCAATGGCGGCTGGACGGAGGATGTGGTGGGGCAGAGGGTGGGAGGGTAGAGTGGATAGTCAGTGTCTGGTCATTTCCGACTGAAGAGTGAGCCCAGCAGAACCACGCCGGCCACAGTCATGCCCGTCAGGAACCAGCGGTTGAAGCGCTCCTGGCCCTTTCGGCTCTCGGCTGCTGCATTGTTCCCATAGAGTTCCACAAAAGTGTCCTGCGGGGAGAGAGAAGGAAGGCGCAGTTTGAATTCTCAGAGTAATGTAGGTGGGTGGGGAAAGGGGCCATGTGCATGCTATGGCCTTGGTGACATGAAAAACTGTAGCCATCCGTGCCCACTCTGGGCCAGGTAAAGGGCTAAGGGTGGTCCTCTTTCTTGACCCTCAGTTGGTGATAACCAAACCATGTTACTGCTCAGAAAACAGGTAGAGAGGAGGAAAGTGCCCTGAGGTCAGTAAGTAACACTTTCTCCAGAATCCAAGGTGGGAACGAGATGGGCAGGGTCAGGGAACTGATGGAAGCCAGGTGACTGGAGCAGAGTGCAGGAGAAGAGGGCATGGGGGAGATGATGGTGCAGGGGTGAGCAGAAGCCAGACCATGTGTGGCCTGGAAGCCGCGAGGAGCCTGGAGTTGAGTCTGAGGGTAGTGTGGAGTGTGGAGACACTAGGCCTCAGACTTTCTACTGCTGCACCAGAGGGAGGGACAAGGAAGCCCAGGGCTAAATCCCCAGGGTGATTTGGGGCCAATTCAGGGGTAGACTGGGTCCTGGGACTTCAGCCAGAGGCTCCTCCCTCTGGAGGGAGTCTCTGGTGGGCAGGTTGGTGATGAGAAGAGCACGGCAGACAAGAGAGGGTAACAATGACGCAGGACTGAGAGGCCTCCATGATGGGGTCTGTGAGGCCTTGTCCCTGTCCTCCACTGCAGGGGGTGTGACTCTGTGCCCAGGAGGTTGTGATCAACAGCCCTCTGCCCCGAATCTAAGTCAGAAGGGAAGCACATGATAGGGGGAAGGAGGAGCTGTGGGCTAAACTACCCAGCCCAGGGTGCAGCAGCCTGTGGGGCAGGGAGAGAGACACTTAGAACATACTTTTTTATGAGTAAGCGTTGTACCCAATTTGTCCTTTAATCCTCCCAACAATTCTGCAATGCAGGCTGTCTCTCCCCATTTACAGGTCAAGAAGCTGTGCCCAAGGGCCAAGGACCCAAGGACTAGATCAAGGTCACCCATCTGTGTCAGTGGTGGAGCCAGAATCCAAAACTGGTGTCTGGCACCTAGAAATATGTAAGAAAGAAGTTCCAGGCTGGGTGTGGTGGCTCATGCCTATAATTCCAGCACTTTGGGAGGCTGAGACGGGTGGATCGCCTGAGGTCAGGAGTTAAGACCAGTCTGGCCAACATGGTGAAACCCCGTCTCTACTAAAAATACAAAAATTAGCCAGGTGTGGTGGCACGCACCTGTAATCCCAGTTACTCAGGAGGCTGAGGCACGAGAATTGTTTGAACCTGGGAGGTGGAGGTTGCAGTGAGCAGAAATCATACCACTGCACTCCAGCCTGGGTGACAGAGACTCCGTCTCAACAATAACAACAACAAAAAAGTAAGTTCCGTGTGTGTGTGTGTGTGTGTGTGTGTGTAAAATGAATGAGTTACTGGCTGATTCTTGCCTATCTACCAAGACCTCTGCCACACTGGGCCTACATTTCCAACTGGTCCCAAATGGGCGAGTGGCTGCTCCGTCAGGGCATGCCATCTCCAGTTGGCCTCAGGTCTCACCTACCAATTTGCTCACTTGTGACCCCTGCCTGGGCCCACTTCCAGTCTTGACAACCCCCTCAGTCTATGTTCCACACAGAGATTTCTAAAAACACAGGTCAGATCATAACACACCTATGCTTGAAGCCCTCCAGCAGCTTTCTCCTGCACTTAGAAGGCCAGCATCATTATTTTTGTATACCTGGTACCTAGCAAAATGCCATGTGCACTGAGGTGCTAACTTGACTGAAGGAATCCTCAACATTAAGCCAGTAGAGAGCAGTGACCCATGAATCTCAGCCCTCGCACAAGCACACTCCATTCAGTCACTCCAAGTTCTCAACCTTCCCAGGGCTTCCATCACACCTGAAACAAAGTCCCCACTCCTTACCCTGGTCAGCAAGGTCTAGTGGAATCTGGCTCTAACACTTTCTGGTCTCCTCCCCACCCCTGTCCCCTGCACACTTCACTCCAGTCTCACTGGCCTCCTTGCTGTTCCTCCAATGTCTCCTGCCACAGGAGTCTGCTGTTCCCACTTGCCTGGAGCACCTGACCCCAGGTCAGCGCCTGCCTCACTCCATCATTTCACAACCATGACTCCCCTCAAATGTTACCTCCTAGGTGAGGCCTTCCCTGACTGCCTTGTCTAAAACAGTATACCACCCCCATCTCTCTCTGCCTGTCCTCCCCTTACCTTCCTTGATTTTTCTTCTTAGTTGTTTCTTTTTTTCTTTTTTTAGACATAGTTTTTCTCTGTCCCCCAGGTTGGAGTGCAATGGCACAATCTGGGCTCATAGCAACCTCCGCTTCCCGGGTACAAGCGATTCTCCTGAGTAGCTGGGATTACAGGCATGTGCCACCATGCCCAGCTAATTTTTGTATTTTTAGTAGAGACAGGGTTTTGCCATATTGGCCAGGCTGGTCTTGAACTCCTGACCTCAAGCGATCCGCCCGCCTCGGCCTCCCAAAGTGCTGGGATTACAGGCGTGAGCCACCAAACATATCTGGCCTTTTTTTTTTTTTTTTTTTGAGACGGAGTTTCGCTCTTGTTGCCCAGGCTGGAGTACAATGGCGCAGTCTCGGCTCACCACGACCTCCGCCTCCCAGGTTCAAGCAATTCTCCTGCCTCAGCTTCCAGAGTAGCTGGGATTACAGGCGTGTGCCACCACGCCCGGCTGATTTTGTATTTTTAGTAGAGACGGGGTTTCTCCACATTGGTCAGGCTGGTTTCAAACTCCCAACCTCAGGTGATCCGCTTGCCTCAGCCTCCCAAAGTGCTGGGATTACAGGCATAAGCCACCACGCATGGCTACCATTTTTTTTTTCTTGTTTTTAAAAGATGTATCCAGATTGACTTTGAACTCCTGGACTCAAGCAATCTTCCTGCCTCAGCCTCCTGATTACAGGAACTACACTACACAGAATGACCACCGTGCCAGCTTTTCTTCTCGGCGCTTCATTTTCTTATTTTTAAATTTTTGTGACACGGTCTCGCTCTGTTACCCAGACTATAGCGGCGCAATCATGGCTCACTGCAGTCTTGACCTCCTGGGCTCAAGCGATCCTCCTGCCTCAGCCTCCTGAATAGCTGCCACTAAAGGCACACACCACCATGCCTGGCTAAATTTCTAAATTTTTTGTAGAGACAGGGTCTCACTTTGTTGCCTAGGCTGGTCTCAAACTCCTGGGCTCAAGGGATCCTTCTGCCTCAGCCTCCCAAGTGCTGGGATTACAGGTGTGAGCCACCATGCCTGGCCTCACCACCTCACCACTTTTTTACCCCCTTAAGCTGCACCCACTTCCGGCACTTTTCATGACTAGATTCTGTACTTTGTTTTTGTTGTGATGTGTCTTCCATACTAGATGTGTCTTTTTTTTTTTTAAGACAAAGGCTTGCTCTGTCGCCCAGGATGGAGTGCAGTGGTGCAATCTTGGCTCACTGCAACCTAGACCTCCAGGGTTGAAGCCATGCTCCTGCCTCAGCCTCCTGAGTAGCGCCCACCACCACGCCTAGCTAATTTTTGTATTTTTAGTAGAGACGGGGTTTTACCATGTTAACCAGGCTGGTCTCAAACTCCTGACCTCAAGTGATCTGCCCGCCTCAGCCCCAAACTGCTGGGATTAGAGGCGTGAGCCACTACCCTCAGCCTATACTACATATATCTTGATAAGGGCAGAGGTCCTGTCTTGTTCCTATACACCCAGTGCTCAGAACAGTGTCTTGCACATAACTGGTGCTCAGTAAATACATGAGTTAACAAATGTATTGCACGTCTACTACATGTCAGGCATTGGTATCCCACTTCACCTTCATCAGAATCCTGAGATGTAGATTTGAGCCACATTTCACAAATAAGATGCCTGAAGTTTAAAGCAGGGAACACTCAGCAGACAGCAGAGTCAGGATCGAACTGCAAGACTAGCTTCAAAGGGAGTGCTGCTATGGCAGGACACTTCCCTGAAGTCTGAGGCTGGAGGGATGTGTCCTGTCAGTAGTGCTGTAAGGATTTCCAGGAGAAGGAATGTGGGAGCAGGGTTGAGGTGGAGGATCTGGGGAGAGGAGGGCAGTAGGGCCGTGGCTATGCTTCCCTGTCTCCCACTCCATCCTAGCCAGTCTCTGTGGGTCTTGGCAGAGAAAAATATTCTTACAGGTTTGATTTTGTTGCTCCCACGTATGCCCAGGTGGAGTCAAAACAGGATTATCTGTGATGAGGGAGAGTTTCAGACTATGAAGAGCATGGGAGAAGGCCCTGGTTATCCCAAAAGGCCAAATGTCTCTCAAGAAACCAGGGACACTGGGGTTGCAGCCAAAATGGGAGAGGCCTGGCTCCCTTGATGGGAACTTTCCTGAAGTAGAGGGCTGGCAGCCACAGGAAATTTTCAGCTCTGGGGCTGGGCTGGAGTAAACAGGCGCTGTCCCCACAAGCACACAAAGCATTCACTGTCCAGGAACAGTCATTCCTGGGTGGAGGGAACATTCTCATTTCAGTGCCACACAAACATTCTCATTTCACCTGCCCCAGCTTCCACTCATGTGTTCCTGGTCATGACAACCTTCATCTCCACTTCAGTTTCTTTTCCTGGGGAAAGGGAGTAGGATTTCCAAGGGGTGTGGATTCTAAGGATTGCTTTTGCAGAGAGAGCACGAGCAAAATGGGGCGTGCTGTTCCAGGGCGGGTGCTGGAGAGGCGGTGGCGTGGGTATATTTAGCCCATGGTTCACACGACACACTTGGAAATAAACAGAGCCATTTTCTCAGCGGGCGGCTGCTCTGGATAAATAAACAGGATTGCAGAGCAGCCCTGGTCTGGAAAAGCAGAGATAAGCCCCGACTACTCCTTGGGTGGCTCCCACTGGTTTTAGCCAGGCTGGCATGGTAGGCAGGGGATGATGTTTAAGAGTGGGTTGCAGGGAGGTTTCTAATGTCACAAAGGTTTCTAGGAGACCCAGGCCCAAGGGCCTGTCTGCATCCTCTGCTTGAGTTAGAGGAAAGTGGGGAAAGTTTCTCTTTGTAGCTGACTTCCCTGTGGGGGTTTGTAGGGCCACTGGGGACAGACAATGGCAAATGACCTCCACAGGAGAGTCATGGATTCCTAGCCAGGCAGACCCACGAAGTCAGCAAGAGCAACCCACCTGCCCATTCTACGTTTCCTCTGCTGGTTTGTAGTAGAGCCTACACTAGAAAATTGGGTCTCCTGACTTGGCCCCTAGGAGATGCCCAGGCTAGTACCACTTTCAAGGTCCTTCTTCCAATACTTCAGAGGCTTCAACAGTCCTGGCCACCCACTTGGAGTGGCCCCACACTACATACTCCTAAGTGCTTCAGGCCCTGGTGCCTTTGCCAACACTGTCCTTTAACTGGTCATTCCATATCTTCCTCAGTTAACCAACTCCTACTAGGCCTATAGGACTCCATTTTGGAGTCCCCTCTTCCCTGCTCATCCCTCCCTAACCTCTGGGATGAATGTCTCCTTTCCGCTCCTAGGGTCCCTGGACTTCTGTTTCTACCAGGGGTATGCATTGAGGCTGGCACTGGAGACTCAGCCGTGAGCAAGGCTTCCATGGAACTTATTTTCTAGTCCATTCTCAATGGTAGTAAGATCACCTCCAATGGCATGAAGTGAAGCATTCTTAGACATTACAGTGATTTGTGGCTCTCCACAGGGCCACAGCACATAAAGAGATATATAGTATATATAGTATAGTATTCAAATTTCATGGGAGAGCAATTAGGACAAAAAAGTCTGAAAAAGACTCCTTGCAGGCGTGGGTGATTAAAAAAAAAAAGTTGAGAAACCTTGTCTTACTGGGAAGCAGAGAGGATAACAAGAAAAAAAAAGATAATTTTCGAGATGATAGGGTCTTAAGTCCTGTGGAGGTGACAGAGAATATCCGGGGGAGCTGGGCACAGTGGCTCACACCTGTAATCCCAGCACTTTGGGAGGCCGAGGCGGGCATATCACCTGAGGTCAGGAGTTCAAGACCAGCCTGACCAACATGGCGAAACCCTGTCTCTACTA